GCAGGAGAGAAAGCAAGACAGAACAGGTAAGGCACAGAGCAGCTTGGTGATTGATTCTGGATCTCCAAGGAACCTCTGGCAGAATCAGGTCTGATATGTCCCTTCCTATCTCTGGTGGCCCAGCAGCTGTCCTGTATTTCTTCAAAGCTATGGGGCGGGGGGGGGGGAGGTTTCCAGAGAACTTGAGGTTCCTGAGATGGACTGTGATTTGGGCATCACCAATGTTCATTGATCTAGTCCTCTGAAAAAGATTTTCTCAAGTGTCCCTGGCAACAATCCGGTTTGAGACAGGCAGGTGCCAGGATAAAAGAATCCTAATTCAAAGCCACCTTGAGTCTCTTCACTTTAATCTACTGATGGGACATCAGTAAATCTCACACGTAGAGAAGAATGGCATCATTTTTGAATCAAGATATTCAGTGAGCAGGGCTGGGGTTGCGGCTCAGTGGTAGAGCACTGGCCTGGCATGTGAGAAGCCCTGGGTTTGATCCTCAGGACCACATAAAAAAAATAAATAAATAAAATGAAGGTATTGTGTCCAACTATAACTGAAAAGTAAATATTTTTTTTTTAAAAAGATATTCAGTGAGCATAAACCACCCTCACATGGGGGGACAAGGAGGGATAAAAGGTCAGCTAGGACATGGTCCTCCAAAAGTGCTTATGGTCATCCTTAGGCACTTTAAATTCAATTAGGGATTTTGTAACCTTTGAAAAGGTTAATAAACATTTTAAAATCCTTAGTTAACAGACTACAAAAGAAAGGTCATGGGACAGCACATGATTGTTTTTTTAAATGCTAAAAGAAAAAAAAAAAAAGGTGGAGGCATCCTGGAGGCCATAGTTCATAGCCAAGCAGGTCTGTGCGCAGGTGGGCAGGAGAGAGCTTCAGCAGGAGGCAGCAGGCACAGCACCAGGCCAGCAAAGGGCTCTGTGTGCTGGTGCTACCCAGAGAGCAGGGCTCAGGCTGTGGGCTTCCCAGGCTGTGGGGCCACTGAATGATCCTTCAACTTAACTGGAGAGGAATGGGACAGAAGTGGGGCATAGTCCCTACTCATTGCCAGCAAGTCGGGTGCCTGAGAGTCCCCCCTGTCTCTGTGCCTGCACCCCCACACTTCCTACTGAGGAGGATGGAAGACAGACAAAGTTCTCTGGAGGGTGGTCTCCTTGCAAGAACTTCTCCCCACACCCAGCCCAATGAGAAAGGAGATGCATCCTGCTGTCTACAGAGGCTTACAGAGGCCCTCTGACACCTGCCCCAAAGGTGGGTCAGACACCCCAGCCATAGCCTCCTACAGCACCTGTTCTTCCCCTGCGTGGCTCTCCTGAGCCTTGCAATAATTACATCCAGACATCTGTAAGTTCCATGAGGGCAAAGACACATTCAAAGATCTGGTTAAATGAATAAACAGATGATGAAGGGAGGGAGGGAAGGAGAGAGAAGGGACAGGGCAGCTGCTTGTGGGGGCCACTGGTGTCTAACTCCAGGGGCCACCATGCACATCCCATTGGAGGTAGATGCACACCTGCTAGGGGGGTGCAGGGAGGTGGCGGCCAGAAGGAGAAGCTGCTCTCTGGTCTCCATCTGGGAAAGCAGACAGCTTGAGTTGTGTGCAGCCAGTCCTCCTTCGGTTGGAGGAGTTTCAGGGAAGGGGAGACAAGAAGAGGACAGAGTACAGCAGATGAGTCCCTGACACTCCCTTCCCACCATGCACACCATGCAGATGTGCTGCATGAAGCCTGGCTCCCCACAGGACGCCATCAGATTCAGGAGGAACATCTGCCTCCTCCGGGCCCACTCTCCTTCCTCAGTCAGCTGCTCCTGCCAGTCTTCTCTGGATGCCCTCGTCATAACTGGTGTGCGTCATCCCCTTATGTTCCCCATCTCTGCCAGCAGCATGAAGGCATGTCCTGAAGATCCAGACAGCCATCTACGCACCAGCAGGACTGCGCAGACTCCCTGCGGCAAGGAAATCCCTCACCCTTGGTCCACAGCACCCTGCTCACAATCTCACCCCAGGCAGGGCTGCCAACCTATATTCCTCGGGCCAGGGGACAGCAGTTACTCTACCACTGGGAGGCGGGCTTTCTCATAGACTGAGGTGTTCTCTGAAGAGCTGGTTCCTCGAGGGCTTCCCATTCAAATCAGTTCCCTAGAATCTCTGAAGGCCTGATGTCTACCTGAGATTGTCTGGCTCAGAGTGTCTTCCTCCTCATGCTGCTCTAGCCTGGCTCTCCTCTTTGGAATCTGGAGAAATGCAACCCCAATATCAGACACAAGAAACAGTAGAAGGTCACATCTCTCCATTCCCTTCCTCTGGGTCCTGAGTAATGGACTCAGCTCTTATAGGCAGGTCACTGCTGCTTTAGAAGGCTCCGCAGAGCTCAGCTGGCCCAAGTCCCTCCTGTACGGAAGGTGAGGAACCCCAAGGAAGAGAAGGGAGGGCCAGGGTACGGCTGAGCACCAGACCTCGAAGGCTCCTTCCACCACACAGTCTGCAGAGGATGCTGGCACATGAGACCAGCAGATGCTAAACTGCAGAGGCAAGACAGAAGAGTGATAGTGGTGGCAATTCCCCATCCCTCCAGGTGGAGGGCTATATATGTCCCCTACCTAACTCACAGACCCCCAAAGTTCTGTAGAACCTAAGGTAAGCAACCCGCTAATGATACAACAAAGTGGAAGGAAGCTAGCTATTCAGGGCCTTAGGGCTCCCTGCCAGAAGGGACCAGCATGGCCAGCAGCCAATCTCCCCAGTGGCAGTGCCTTGCCTCCCTAATGACCATGTTCCAAGGGCCCACAAACCCTGCCCCCAACCAACGAGCCCAGCAGTCCCACCAGGTCACCCAATCCAGACATTCCTGAATCCTCACCCCCTCTTAGGGAAGCTCCCAGAGTTTTGGCTTCCCTAATTCAAGGTCATATTATTTCCTAATGTCATGCTAGTGAACAATGGTAGATTGGAAATGGAAGATGTGGGTTTCTGCCCCCAGAAATGTTAACAACTCAGTGGGACTTTGGAAAAGCCCTCCCTATTCCCTGGGGCTCCCTTCCCATCTCAACATGCAGGGGAGGTGGTAGCCTCTTTCTCAGGTTTTGGCTCTCTGTTCTGTGATTTTCAGGAACAAAGGGGCTTTGCAGGGCTCAGAAGGGGCCAGAGTTTCTGAGGGAGCCCAGATTTCTCACCAGAGATGTTTTCCCTCATCAAACTCCTAGTTCTTTTGAAGTGTGTTCATTCAGACATGGAGTAAACAAATGTTTGTTCAGACCTTACCATAGTCCAGGCACCAGGGAAACATGAAGGTATAAGAACTTCAAGCAACTACTTTTCAGAGACAGAAGCTCAGTCTCCAAGAGGCCTCAAATTTGGCTTATGGTAGCAAACTAAGAATTCAACTCCCAGGCTGCGGAGCCTGCAGATTCTCTCCTAGGGCCAAAGACCACCCCATCACTTCCAGACATGGAAAAGTCACCTCTGTGACACTGGGGTCTATTAAGAACAGGATATCAGAGTCCCCAATATAGGGAGGCTGAGTTGATCTTGATATGAAATGTCCCAAACCTATTTATCCATGTTGGGGCCAGCTGACCACCTCTCAACCTCTTTTTCAGGAAATGAGCATCAGCAGACAGAAAGCAGCCACGTGATCTCCATTGCCCACATGCACACGTCACAGCAACACTGTTCCCTGAGCCTACCAGGGCCTCCCACAGCCTCCCTTCTCGTGGACCTTTGTAGACAGGCACTCAGCCAGCTGAACAGGACTGATCTGTAGAGCTAGAGCTGGGGGTCCTGCCCACCCAGGGGCATCCTTTTCTAAGTGCCCAGCTTGTCTTCCTGAAGGCAGGAGGCCCCTGGAGAGATGCGCTGGGAGCCACTCCTTCCTACAGGTGTCAGAGGGGTCCCTGCTCATCAATCTGGGCTTCCCCACCTTGGGCCAAACAACCTGGGTTTCAAATATGCTTTCTTCGGGGAGGCTCCGTGCCAGTAGAGAAGCCCTCAGTCTCCCCCTTCCCCGGCTCTGGCCAGCTGCCACGGTGACCTCCCCTCCCCCCAAGAAGGGCGGTGAGCAGGGAGGTGGGGGTGGGAAGAATCCTCCGCCTCGGCTGATGCTCTCTGGAGGGGGGCTGGGAAGCCAGGCAGGGCGTGTCGCCTGGGCCTTTCTCTGCCCATCGCCCCGGCTTCACAGTCTCTAATGCAAGGTGCCCCTGTAACCATCCCTCAAATCACCTGGCACTGGAGGAGGCTTCGCTGTCAATCGTCCACACCCCTGGACCCCTAGGAAGCTGACATGTGCCAACGAAGGACAGAGGGTCTGGAACCTTCTGCCCAGTCTGACCTAAGCTTGGGGAGGTCGGTGCGCTGCTCGCCCATGGCCTGCACCCGCTCTTTGAAGAAGACAGGTGTCGGTCTTTCCTCCCCGCCACCCTACCCACCACCATCACCCAGCGACTGTTCCAGGGTCTGGACGTTCGTTCCCTTTCACATGGTTCCAGGCAGGGGCCACAGGGAACCCCTTCGGCGCAGCCGTGTTGCGGGTGCGGCCAGCCCCCAGCCCCACCTTGTTCTCCCCAAAGGGGCACTAGTCCCCTGCCCCCACCCTCTCCGGCACCCGGCCACCTGCGCGGTCGCCCGCAGCCGGTGCCGCAGTGCGAGCGAGCCAGCGAACCCGGCGCCTTCACGCCTTGGCCAGCGAGGTGGAGCAAGCCGCCGCCCTCCGGCCTCCCCGCCTCGCACACCTGCACCTGCACCCCGGACCCCAACCCGGATCCCACATCGTCCCCACCCCTGGCCCCAGCACCTCCTCAGCCCTTACTCTCGTCCCCTCCCTAGCCCAGCCCCACCCCAGCTGACCCCATCTCCCCATCCCCATCCCTCTTCTCCACCCGGGCGTGGAAGGGCCTTTCCGAGCCCGGGCCCGGGGGTCCCTGTGGTGTTGGGTAAACTGGCGGCGGGGAAGGCTCGGCGCCAAGACAAGAGAATAAGCCGGGTACTTACCGCTCTGCTCCCCCAGGAACACTAACTTGAATTTTCTCAGTGGGTTCCCAAAATCTCCCCCTGCAGACATGATGCTGGCAGCCGGGGCCGGTAGAGGAGGAGGAGGAAGAAGCGAAGGAGCAGGGAGGGGAAAGGAGGAGGGCTAGGGGAGGCGGCCGGCGGTGCGGGAGCCGGAGGGGGAAGGGCTGGCTGCGCGCGTCCCTGACTCCCCAGCTGCGTCCCGGCCCCGGCCTGCGGCTGCGTGTCCGGCAGCGGCAGTGGAGGAGGAGGAGGAGGAGAGAGAGGAGGCGGAGGAGGAGGAAGACTGAGGCTGGGCTGCCAAGGGCGACGCGCTTTGGACGCCCGAGGAGCGGCGCGGGCAGCAAGGCGCGGGCGGAGCGGGGCGCAGGGACCGCGCGCGGGGCGGAGGAGCGCTCTCCCGAGCCGCGCCAGTCGGCCCCCTCCAGCCTGCCTTCTCTGCCGGCGCCTGCGCTCTGCGCGCTCCCCAGCCTCTGATGTCATGCGGGGCCCGCGGCGCTGCGGGGCTGGGGGGCGTGCGCCCGCCCACCTGGAGCCCGCACCCGGCGGGAGAGAGCCACCTCTCCTTGCCTCTGAGAGGGTCCTCCAACCGTCTTTAGCGGCCCCGCTACTTCTGTCTTCCCCAGAGCAGTTCTGTTTTGAACCCCCCCAAAAATGACACAAAATTATCAGGGGACATTTGTCTCTAGTCATTTAAACCTAGATGTTCGTCCCTTCCTCCATCTCGCCAGATACCGGTGTACAGTGCAGTTGTCCGAGAGGGCAAAAAGGGAAGGAAGGAGGCTGTGGGAAAGCCAGGGTGTGGTGGGGAATGGGGAGCTGACTGGGTACAAGGCGCAGGCGGGAAGGAGGGGCGGGGGCAGCAGGGCTCCACTGTCTCCCTTGTGGCCTCCAGCCCGTCCTCCCCTCTAGGCCCAGATCCTTCACCTGGGCGACCTGTGTTGGGTCTGTTGATGTCCCCGCAGACCTGGTAGAGGAGAAGAGGCTCCAATATAGGGCGCGCCTACCTCCAACCAACTGTTTATTTTGTGCTAAATCCTAACCTGCCCCATGGGAGAGAAGGCACAGTGACCCCTGAATTCCAGCGTGCCTATCTCCAGGACAGTGGCCTGAGTTTTTTGACCCTGGGGTGGCCAGGCTATAATGATGATACTCCTAGCCTTGGTAATTATGTGTATCTGGACAATGAATTCTCAGAGGAAACGGCAGTGACCTCCCATTGCCTCTGTACTCGCCTGGCCCATTGAGGCACAGGTGATAAATTGTGAGTGGATGAGAGCAAAGAGCAAACGCCAAGCTTAGAAACACTCCCAGGACAGCTCCCATCCTGGTTAATGGAGGTTTTACAAAACCACCTCTTACTCTCCCTCCACCCCATGGTCTTGTTCATTTGTGCTGTACAGTGAATGTTTGGGGAGGATTATCATCAGCATATCTGATTATCATCAGCATACACTCTAGGGGTTATAAGAAGAGAGAGAGAGGAGTGAGGGGCAGCCTTCACCTGTTCATTTGGAACAGGAGACATTTCTTCACCTGGAGACATTTGTTATTTCCCCCACCTTAGAATTTATTGGATATGCTCAAGCAGTTCCCCGTCTGTCTCCCTGCTGCTTCTTCCAGAGCCTCTCATTGCTTTTTAAACCCCTGACAGCAAGTGCCTTGAAACCAGCAGCTGGGATTCCACTCTTGGACCCCAAGAACCAACCTCAGGTCTTAAAAAAATATTTGTTGAATGCTCCAATAAATGTCTAGACCCCAAATCAGAAAAACCGTTCAAGGCACCCAACCAGGCAACAATCCTCCAACTGCTCCCTCTCCAAATACCTGGTGCTGTCTTCCTGCACCCTCTATGCTGTGCTCAGATCATCTGTGGCAAGACAAAGCAGCTCAGTAGTGACAGAAAAAGCATCATCCTTTGGGTAAGTGTAAGCAAGTCCAGTACCTTCCTTGACCATCTGGACCTTCACACACAAGGTGAAATGGTGGTAGAGGACAAAGCGATGGGCCCTTTGGGCATTCCTAAGCCTCCTTGTCAACCCAGATGCTTGCCAGATGCAGCTGGACTGATGAGGCCAGAATGCCTTGCTGGACCCTGGCAAGATTCTTCCAGTTCAAGTGACAAAAACCCAGGTCCAACCTCTGAGCTGTTGTAGTTGGGGCAGGTTACTAATGATGCTCACAAAATGTCATCATCACACTGTGGGAATTAGCGCCTTAGAGATTCCAAGTCCCCTCTGCTTCCATTCTCCCTCCTTCTCCAGCCACCGTTGCTTTTTCTTCTTACTCTGGGCCTTGCCCTTGACCTGCTCTAGAGCCATCAGCCTTTCTCTGGGTTGCAGAAAATGTGTCCACTCTGAACCACACCTTGGCAACCCCACTGGAGAGAGTTTCTTCGACATATCATCTTTGTGTCCCATCTTTAAGAAGTCTGCAAAGCTTCCTATTGAGTATATACTATATAGAGAGAAGTTATAAAGAAAACCTGTCACTGTGAATGCCCATTTGTTCTCCACCCAGCTGGAGAAGCCAAACGTTGCAACACTTTTGATGTCCCTAGGTGCTCTCCTTCCTTCCCCAGCAACTTGAAAATCCAGAACCCTGGCTTTTCTTTGCATTTTATCACATTTGAAAATGTCCTTCAATTATACATTGTTTTGGTTTTCATCTTTTGAAGTTTATGTAAGGTATCAAACTGTATGTTCTGTTCTGTGACTTGCATTTTCTTCCCATTGTGTCCCTGAGATTCCACTGTTGCTGCGCACAGCAGCAGTGCTTACATTTCCACCGCTGTTTAGTATTCCACTGTCTGCCCCAATTTTTAAATCATTTTCAATAAAATGTGTGTCCAGTTTTTAAAACTCAAAATAATTTTAGAATGACATAGAGGTTGCCAAAAAGAAAAAAAAAATCACAGGAAGTTTGTGTGTGTCTTTACCCTGCTGCCCCATGATAACATCTTATATAACCACAGTGCATTAGCAAAGCCAGGAAATTAACATTGGAAAACACACCCAGCTTTCTTTCTGCTATTACAAATAATGCTGCTAGGAACATTCTTTACACTTCTCCTGATGCATCAGTGAAAAGTTTCCTTAAGATCTGTATTGAGGAGATAAATTACAGCATAGAACAAAATGTATGTTTAATTTTATGGCACACTGCTTTCTAAAGAGAGTTGTTGGGTCATATAGCTTCTCTCTCTCTCTCTCTCTCTCTCTCTCTCTCTCTCTCTCTTTCTTTTTTTCTTCTTTGAGAAGGACTTGGCTATTTTATTAAAGTCTGGGTTTTAACTTTGAGATCATTATAGATTGACAAGCAGTTGTAAGAAATAAGACAGCTCTTCTGTATCCCTTATCTGGTTTCCCCAATGGTAACATCTTGCAAGAGGAGGTCCTGTAGTTCAATATCCCACCTAGATATTGACATTAAGACAGTCAAGGCACTGAAGCATTTCCATGAGGTGGGTCCCTCCTATTTCCCCTTTTATAGCCACGCCCACTTTCCTCCCACTTCTGTCCCTTCCTAACCTCTGTCAACCCCTAATCTGCGTTTCATTCCAATGAATTTGCCATTTCAAGAATCTTATGTAAGTGGAATCACACAGTATGAAACTTTTGGAGATTGACTTTTTTCACCCAGGAAAATTCTATTGAGATTCATCAGAATTATCGTTTATATCAATGGTTGGTTCCCTTTTAGTGCCAAGTAGTATTTCATAGTATTTTTTTTTCAATTCACCTGTGAAGAACATCTGGATTATTTCCAATTTGGAGCCATTAAAAATAAAACTGCTTTGAACATTCATGTACAGGTTTTTGAGTGAACATAAAGGTTTTTTTTTTCCTATAAAATAATACTGGGCCATATGTATGTATGCTGTTTTTTAAAGAAACTGCCAAACTTTTCCAGAATGGCTCTACCACTTTATACTCTTGCCAGCAATGTATGAGTGATCCAGCTTCTTCGCACCCTCACCAGGATTTGGTTGTGTCAATATTTATTTTTTAAGCCACCCAGAGATATATGTAGTGATATATCCTTGCAGTTTTTAATTTACATTTCCCTGATGGTTAATGATACTTAACATCTCTTCTCATTTTTTTTTGCCATCTGCATATTCTCTTGGTGAAATGTCTGTCTATTTCCTTCCTCCATTTTTAATTGACTTTTTTCTTAATGTGTTCGAGAAACTACTCCTTTGTTAGCTTTGTGGTTTGCAAATATTTTCTCCCACTCTGCAACTTGTCCTTTCATCCTCTTTACAAGGATTTTTGCAGAGTAAAATATTTTTCATTTCAATAAAATACAACTTAGTCTTTTTTTTCCTTTATGAAGCGTGTTTTTGGTATCATGTCTAAGAACTCATTACAAAGCCTTGAATCCCAAAGGTTTACTCTTGTGTTTTCCCAAAATTTTGTTTTAAAAATAGTTTTATGTTTTATATTTAAGACCATGGTCCATTCTGAGTTAAATTTATGAGTTGTAAGACTTGGGATGGAGGTTATTTTTTTTTTTTTGGTTTTTTGCCTATGAATGCCCAAATGCCTAGTTGCTTTAGCACAACTTGTTGAAATGCTGTATATTCACCCTTGAATCGCTCTTGAACCTTTGTCAGAAATCTTTTGGGTCTTATTACTGTGGGAGGTGTGGAAATCCAGACTCCCGACATGGTTTCTGCTGACACTGCAGATGGGAGACGGCCATCCTACACAGCATAGGCGAAAATTGTGGTTCTGACACTCCCATCCTAGCCAAAGGGTTAGGGCATTGCTGTGATTTGACTGTGTCTCCAGATTTCAGAAACTTAATTCCCAAATTCATATGTTAATGGAATCTGGAGGTGCCATCACTGGGAGGTCTTCAAGTCAGGAGGACCCTATTTGTGAATGAATGGATGAATCTATTTGTGAATTACTAGATTCATGAATTAACGAGGGAGTGGTTTTGTTATAATAGTGAGCTCTCTCCTGCAAACTTGTTCTGTCTTGCCACGTTATGATATAGCAAGAGGGCCCTTGCCAGATACCAGGAAGATATGGGTGCTATGCTCTTAGACTTTGCAGAACCCTGAGCTAAATAAACCTGAATTCTTTATGAATTACCAAGCTTCAGGTATTTTGTAAATGCAATGGAAAAATAGACCAAGACAGACATATTGGTAAAGGCTGGTAATGGTGAAAGTCTGTACTCACCACTTGGACTTTGCTGCGTAGGAAGTTTTTCTATGGTGTTTGGCTGGAATAGAGCAGTTACTGAGTTTTCTGTCTTTCTGGGTTACCCCTTTCCTGGTCCTTTGACTAAAGATCAAACTTTCATTGGGTATTCATTTTTGTCTGTGCTTGTAGGCATTTCTAGGGTTCTTGCTTCTTCAGCTCCAAACCTTGGACATATGAGATTAAAAGAAAACC